TGAGAAGCTGAGATTGGGAGGATCCTGGTTTGAACCAGGCCAGGTGGGGAGTTCCTAAGAGCCCATAGCTGGGCATAGTGGCAAGCACCTGTCATCTCAAGTTATACTGGAGACCAAGATCAGGAGAATCATGGTTTTAGGCCCAAACCAAGTTTGTGAGACCCCCATCTCAACAGAAAAAAGCTGGGCATGATGGTGCATGCCTGTCATATTCCAGCTATGGCAGGATGTGTAAAATAAGAGGATTGCTAGCCAGGCCGGCCTGGGCTACAAGCAAGACGCTGTCTTCAAAATAACCAGAGCAAAAAGAGCTGGAGGTGTGGTTCATGTAGAATGCCTGCTTTGTAAGAACAAAACCCTGAGTTTAAACCCCAATACTGCCAAAATAACACCAACAAAAAATCCTTTTATGCTGCTTTTCTGTTTCTTATTTCACTGTGTAGTCAAGGACCCTGAGACTTTATGGTTTATAATGTCCTGGGGACTTTCTGGCCCTGATTCTAATGGGGATATGAATTCTGTTCCTCATTATTTGTGCTGCCTGCCTATGGGGAGCTTCTGGTCCCTGCCATACATCAGGTTTAAGGGGGTTCTTTATTTCACACCTTATCACTAAAATCCTTAATTAGCAGAAAGGATATCAGAACATTTTTTTTCTCTTATTCTCTGTGCTTTGGATTTCAGGCTTACTCTTTCTGCCATGTTTCTGTAAAAAATGGTAAAATGGGCCCTGAACAATGTGATTGAAAGAATAAAAGTGAAGAAAGGCCTTAAGATAACTGTATAAGCTTTCTCTATTTCTATAAAAGAGTGACATTTTATCAAAGTCAAAGAACTTGACAGTGCAAGCGTTCATCCCTTCATTGCCTTGAATTTATTTCAGACATCTTTTGACATGAATTTTAGCTCTGCTGTGTCATCCTAACATAAACTCACTGTTTCTCAGCCTTGTTTTCTTCATCTGTAAAGTGCCTCAAAGGATTGATAATATTTAGACATTCTTAATTAAGAACTACTGATCGTTGAGTATTTATTTTTTTGTGGCAGTAGTGGGGTTTGAACTCAGGGCCTCACACTTGCTAGGCAGGAAGTCTAGCACTTGAGCCATACCCCTAGCCCTAATCATTGGATATTTTATGTGTCATGTCTTTACTCCTTTAATTTGATCTATAAAAAGCCCTTACAAGAGACGTTGAAAGCATTTTGTAAGATGTCAGTCAAGGGTGGCTCACTGCCCTTGTCCCTGTCACAGTCATCGTGGGTGGCATCACCTGGAGAGCCAGGGAAGGGTAGAGGCCCTGGGTTTCCAGTGCCCTGGGTCCTATGCTAAGTTGGGCAAGAGTGAGACACTTACACTCTTGTTTTAGCATAGTTCACGTAGCGCATGAAGCTATGAGAAAAACATTCATATTTGTAAACTCAGTCCTTCTTGGTGAACAGTAATGTGTATTTTTGTGCCAGCTCCACACTCTTTTTTAACTGCTTTCGCCTTAGAGTGATCTCTCAAGGGCTGTGATAGTCTATGGTTTGTACAGGGCTATTCTTAGGACTGCATTAAAATATGCATGTGTATATATAAGCCATTGTGAGTGTTTTCTGCTCAGTTACTCTGTGTGTGTGTGCGTGCGTGCATGTGTGTGTGTGTGTGTGTGTGTGTGTTTACCTGGTCCCTCCTTGCCCTGTTGACTACTTTTAGGGAAGCATTTTGTTTCTCTCAAGTAGGTATCTCTTCATCCTATGGCATTTCTGCCTTACTTGTTTTTGACCTTGAACATGAGACCCAAGAGGGTGGAGTCTGAGCCCACTTAACACTTAGGTTCAGTTTTGTTGGCTTCAGAGATGGTGTCCCATTCTTTCTGGGTTGTCAGCACTCTTGCCTGGTGGCCCTGCACTCTGTCTCTGTGGACCTCTGTCAGTGTGGGCTGGATGATGGGCTACTGGGGGAGGGACCCTCCTGGGTGTGGGCCAGATGAGTGGGACCTTTATGGCTGAGTTGTTGCTGAATGTTTTCTGTGAGGTTGGTGATTTGAGTGCGTGGCATTGCAGCTAGGTGAGAAGAGTTCCTGTGTTTTATTAACTTCCTTCCACTGTGCCTTCCTTTGGCCTCATATTCTGTTATTGTCACCAGGAAAGGAACTGTGGCACTTGGTAAAAGTGTGCAAAGTATAGCATTTTATATTTAATTTTTTTAGGGGTGCTGAGGAAGGAACCCAGGGCCTCACATGTGCTAAGCAAGTGCTCTACCACTGAGCTACACCCTGAGCCCCTGGATTTTATTGTTGATTCACTTTGGAACCATCCCCAGGTACTGGACATAGCATTCTGAAATTTTATAACTCTTTTTTAGATATTTGTCCTTTATTCACTTCCACTTTAGTTACATATTTCTTGATTTATCTTCATAAGTGCCTTCATACTTTGTAAAAACACAGTAGTCCCTGATTGCATTCCGATATAAAATTTAATTTTTTTTTAATAGAGATATTCAGTCCTCTAAGGAGAGGCCTAGACTTCACTCTTGTCTGGCTGAACAGGCTGAGTATCTCTGTTGTGAAAGTTGGGATTTGTTGAGTGTTTAAATAGTCACTGTTATTACTCAAAATATTTAGTGTGTGAAAGCTAGACAGAAAGAAAACTTTATATTAGCTCAGGAATTTTTGGAAGATATCAAAGATACTAAACAGCAGTCAAGAGGCACTTTGTTTCTGAAATATTTTGCAAGTTAAGACTGACCTGTCCAGGTTAGTATATTCTTTTAATGAAATTTCCAGTTTATGTCACATTAACTGTAAAACTGTGTGAGAAGTCCTCTCTTGACTAATAAGGGAACAGATGAATGAGTTCCATCTGAACTCTGTAGGTGCTGTCCAGTGGTCAAGGTCAGCATATGACACATGTTGACCTGAATGTGGTTGTTGCTGGTGCCGGGGGTGTAGGTTCTGGATGGGGCCAATGTAAACAGTACCAAGATGGTGTTTGTTGTAGATTCTCTGGAGGTTATTCATAAGCACTGAAGTTATTGTGGAGGGTCTATCTCAGTCACTCTGTTCAGTTGACCAAATTAAAAACTCAGTGTCTTTGCTTTGTCAAGTATAAAGTTTAATCCAGCTTTCTTGAAAATAGGCAAAATTGGTTGGAGAGGTGGCCAGCTGGATAGGACGAAATATTTAATTTTACCTTAAATATAGACCATTGTATCTCCTATGCATACCGTAAAAAGCAAAGTTGCCAAGAATATGTTGTAAATCTTAGGGACTTGGATCAGAAACCAGGAAAAGATTAGGTTCTGTGGAGATGGGAACCTACTCCTCAGGATACGAGGAGCAGGGGTGATCCTAAGCCGTTGTTATGGTGACCCTAGTCCATTTCCCTGGGTTCTGGTCAGAAACCTCATACTTACTTGACCAGGCACCTTAAAAAATAAAAAATGAAAAAATTTAACTTAGCTACTAGGGTTTAAAAATATTCCAGTTGACATAGCCTTAGGATACTTTTCAAACTTTTGAATTCTTTGAGAAAAGTAGGAATCCTTAGTGAAATGCCTTTGTGCACACTATGATGTTGAGCTTCGAGTAGTGAATAATCTTGGTGATACTGTGGTTTGAACTTAAGACTTCGTGCTAGCTAGGCAGGTGCTCTACCACTTGAGCCACTCTCCCCAACCCACCCACATTCACTTTAGATATCAACCAATAGCGAGTAGGTAGCTAATTTTTTGCATCTGGGAATGGAAGAATGTTCGGCACGTTATAGTTAATGATAACCAGTATTTGTTTAGTATTTACTCTATATCAGATCTTGTCCTAACTCTTTACTACTCATGTAATCCTCAGAAGAGCCCTGTAAAGGAGATAACTGTTTTTATGTCTATTTTGTAACTTGGGACACTTAAGCTCAGTGAATCCAATCATTTGCCCAGATGTAACTTGCCAAGTCAGGGTAGTGTTAGGAGACTAAGGCTCCCTGCTTCTCAGGCCTGGATTTTGGATCAGGGTGCCCAATGGGTACCACTAAAATGGCTGTATTTGCACATTAGTTATCTCAGTTCTGGGCCTAGAACTTCTTCCATGGCAGGTAGAAGGCAGTTGGCAGGTCGTATTTTCACCCTTGAAGGATTAGGAAATTTTAGTTGGTGAGTTCTTCATTGAGTGATCTGTTCACAGGTAGACCAGTGGGAGTACACAAAGGGACGATAACCATTAGAGTCTCTGCTTCACGGGAATCACCCTTCTAAGTCACGTAGTGCATGTGTTTGATTGAGAAATACTAAAATCCGGTGGCATCCGAGTGTGATATGTTACAATCTGCAGGGAGGTGGCTTGATCCCTAGTGCTCTGCAGAGAAGCCCAGATCCGGGAAGAGAGATAAGTTGTACAGTTCACCATAAGCCAGTTGACATAGTATTATGATACTTTTCAAACTTGCAGGGCAAGGGTGTGCCGCCATCTTCTCCGGGTCTGCGACAGTGCCTCAGGCTGTCAGTACAGCGGACTTGAATAAGTGAATCAAAGTAGGTCATGGGGGCCAGAATTCATACTGGCGTCCTGCCTGCTCTGTAACCCCTCCTTGCCAACTTTGCCTTCAGAAAGGCGCCTGCACCTGCTCTGAGATGTAGGCGGGTTTTCTGGGTGGATGAGAGTGCGGGCGTAGTGTGGGAGGACCCTGGGGAAGCACATAGGCTTTGATCTGGACTTGAAATTTGACTTCTCAGTAAACTTTGCCTCACTCCGCCTGCCTTGAGCGTCTCTTGCTTTTCGGACGGAGGAGACATGTAGGTGTTCAGCTGGGAGATGAACTTTAGGCCTTTGTCCATAAAGTTAGTGGATGTAGCAACTACTTCTTGTAAACTCGCTTTCTTGTTTTGTTCTGGGAAGAATCTTTTAAATGATATCTTTAAAAAAAATATCATTAAAAATTTTTAGTCCTGCTTGCATGCAGTGTGCTCGTTCAGTTGTGTACTAGTTTGACACAAGTTCATAATGGCCTCTTTGATTTTCCAGCTTTGGAGCTGACTGTGATGGTGAGTGGGAGGAGACAGCCACGTGACTAGCAGGGTCCTCACCTTGCTCCTCACCTCCATCCTTAGTGAAGTCTGGGTGGCCGTCTCAGCAGACAAAGCTGCTGAGCTGCCTGCCGACAGGTAAGTCCTGTATGTATTTTCATCTGTGCATAGTGCCTTTCTTTTTGGAAGAGTCCTCTGTTAAATATTGATTAAGGTTTAAGGCAACATCAGTATACATGTGTCACTGCAGGTGGAGATGGACGCTAGATCCTTAATTCTAGCATTTCCAATGGGTGACTCCTGTCTGTCTGTTCTATCCTTTTGCTTCTTTTCAGCTCTGCCCTGTTTGAAAGCACTGAGCTGTCATGGGCACAGCTGACCTGGTTGGGCTTGCTCATCTCTGCAGACCATGTGCCACTTGAACTGTCAGGTCTCTTCTGCCTGTCTGTCTGCAGGTTGGGGGGACAGTGCCGCCACATGGGTTGCATCATGAGCTGCGATAGTTGGTAGCTGTGTTTGTGAAGATGGGTAAGCACAGATGGTTGGGTGCTTGTATCTAGATTGATATCCATGTGGTGTGGATGGTCTCCAATCTTGAGTGCTGAAATTGGGGCCCATGTAATTAGGGAAGGTCTGAGGTCTGTGGAAGTGGTTGGTAACTCAGTTGGTACATCAGCCCAAGATGGCTCTCTCTGGGAATGAACCTCCTTTTGTCTTGGTTGGCTCTGGAGGGTCTGAACTATTTATTATCAGGAGGTACAGCCAGGATTGTTGCCAGTGGGCTGAAACAGAGCTAGCCTTCCTGCAGAAGGGCTGGTTGGAGCCACTGTCCTAGAAGGATGGTGCCAGAGTCCTAGTCAACTCTGGCTGTGTTGTACCAGGGACTGTAGACTGGAGGCTAAACAATAGACTTTTTTTTTTTGGTCACACAGTCCTGAGTCTGAAGTCCATGATCAAGGTTACAGCAGGGTTCGACTCTCCTGAGGCTTCTCCCCTTGGCATCTTCTCCCTGTGTCTTAATATGGTTGTCACACTGTGTGTGTCTGTGTCCAACCCTCATTTTATATGGGCATCAATCATATAGGACTAGGGCCTACCCCAATAATCTCACTTTAATTTTAAAGACTCAGTCTCCAAATATAGTCTCATTTTAAGGTATTGGGAGCTAAGACTTCAACATGAATGTTCTGGGAACATAATATAGCCATTACAGAAGGGAGGCCAGACTGAGGGGCTGATGGGAGGCTGGGGACTGCATGTACCAGTCACCTTTGCTGCTTGGTAGAAGATTCTAGGCTCGCCTTTCCTTTTCTGTGTTCAACCTTCTGTGAGATCAAATTACAAGTGCTTGGGTGAATGTTAGACAGCTAGCCTTCAGGTGAATCTTCCTGGAGTCCTTGACTGTTTGTAGACAGAGTTCTCGGTGCGGGTGAGGAAAGGCCAGAGCACTCCCACCATGATCAGCTTGAGGGATGAACTGATGGATCACAATCCCAAACCTATTACCACTCTCCTGGTGGAGCAGACTGTTATGTGACACACTGCTTTTTGTAGAACAGTAACCCTTTTCCTCATAGCAAAGATGGGCAAAGGTGCCAGGATTGTGCTATCTCAGAGTGAATTATGAAGCAGAAGAGTGGTCTGAGGAGGATGATAATGTGTCTGTGACCCAGGACACAGGTATAAAGTAGCCGGGTCCTTGACCTGTGTTTTTGCTGCTCACTGTAGATGGCATGTAGTGTCTGCAATATCAGGCAGGTGTGCCCAAGGGAGGACGACCCAGCACCGTGGGCCAGTAATGGTATCTTAAACACAGGCTGTCACCCCCGCCCCCCTTGGACTGGTGTGCCTCTTGGCATTGCCAGAGATTTCTTGCTCCCTTACATGGATGTATTGCGACTGATACTGAGGTTCCTTGAGGTGTGGGACTATTTTTGTTTCTGGCACATCTTTGTGGTGTTGAAGAGACACATCTGAAACAGGCAGAAGGCTGTCCCTAGCCACCCTTGGCCCCAGTTTTGGATCATCTGATGAGGTTGTGTCTCTGTGTTTTTCCTTGCTGGTTACATCACTCAAAGGGAGCACTCCTTCAAAATCCTACCTGATTAGGGGACTTGGTTCCCAGTTGATCTTCCTTTTTGTTTTGTTTTCTTTTTTTTTTTTTTGGCAGTACTGGGGAATTGGACTCAGGGCCTTGAACTTGCCTACTTGAGCCATGCCTTCAGACCATTTTGCTTTTAGTTTAGTTTTGTTTTTTTAATAGATAGTGTCTTGTACTTTTTTGCCCTGGCTGGCTTGGATTGAAGTAGGATCCTCCTGCCTCTGCCTCCCACATAGCTGGGACCGCAGGTGTGAACCAACATGCCCGCATTTTCTTTGATGTAGGATCTGGCTTTTCTTTTTTTTACCTGAGCTGGCCTCCAACTGTGATCGTCTTATCTCCCTTCCTGTGTAGTTAGGATTACAGAGATGAGCCATCTCACTCATCCAGCCCTCTTCTCTGCCTATGAGAGTTTTACTTACTTGTTGTTGGTTATGTCCAGGGTTTTTAGTTGTAGGAAAGAGATCTGAGAGGATGGCTAGAACTAGAAGGCTTTGGCTTTTGGTATTTTCTGTTTGAAAGCTTATATTCCCAGGTGGGCATTGGGTTTTAGGAGGAGGGTTAGAGATTAGTTACTTGACCCATGATGGGTTCAGCCAAAAAATGAAAATAATTGTCAGAATTCTGTCAGTGCCCTGTTAGAAGCCAAATACTTGTGAAGTGGAAAAACTCCAGCACTTTCCTGAATTGGAAAGATTATAAATCAATAATCTTTTAATGACCAGTAGCTTGTCAGTCTCTCCTGCTCCTTTTCAAGTTGCTGGTCAGTCTTTTTGCCATCATTCTGCCGATTCAAAACAAAATGGTGATGTCTTACTATTATTTCTTTCCATCAGAACTGGGAAAAGATCCAGTTGCTAGTCTGGGAAAGTCATGGTGCATTAATTTTGCTTTCTCTCTCTCTCTGTCTCTCTCTCTCTCTCTCTCTCTCTCTCTCTCTCTCTCTCTCTCTCTCGTGGGACTGGAGTTTGAACTCAGGGCTTCACACTTGCAAAGCAATCACTCTACCACTTGAGCCACCAATCTGTTTTGCTCTGGTTATTTTTGAGATGTAGACTCTTTAATTATTTTCCCATGCTTGACCTTGAACTTTGATTTTCCTGATTTTAGCCTCAAGTAGCCACCGGTGCACAGCTTGGTGATTTTCAGTGTGTCTCTAAAACAAGAGTTTCTCAAGAGAACTCAAATCATACTGAATTCTTAGCAAGTAGTGAAGAGTTTCTTGCAGTTTGGGGCATTGGATCATTTAGGATAGGGTAGCAAGCTTACTGTTTTTAAGCAACAACAAGGTCAGAGTTACATTAGGACAAAATGTACTGCATGTCAGAAAGCAGTTAGTGTGGTATGTAAGATAAGTTATAGAGATCAGCTCGGGCACATTCTCTCTGTGAAGTCTCTGATGTCACAGAATGTGATCCGGTCCTTGGAATGTTCACAGATGTTGGGAGTGGTGGTAGGGAAGTAGATAACAACACAGAGAGTACGTGCTGAACGGAGCGGAGGTGCGGGTTGCTCTGGGTACAGGGACCAGATAAGGATAATAAAAATGGTAACAAGAACACCAGCTTAAACTTACTGTGCTTCGTATGTGCGAGGTAGTGGTCTGCACGATCCCCCTTGTGGATTGACATAACTTGACCTTCACGAGAGTCTGATGAAGTAAATATCACTCTTTCCATTTATAGACATGAAGACACCAAGACAGAAAGAAGTTACATATGTCAGTGCTCATTATTTGAGGATCCTGTTCGTGAATTTGCCTACTTGGCAGAAACTAACTTGTAATCCCCAAGTCCATGCATGTGGTGCCTTTGTGGTCATTCACTGATGTGCACAGAGCAGTGAGAAGCTTACCTGTTTCTGGTGGAGGTCAAACAGCTGTACTACTGGGAACAGGTGTCCTTTGGTGATGTAGTTGGTGTCACATTTTCATATATTTTGTTGGTGACTTTGTAGAGAGTGTTCCTAAGTTCAAGAAATTGGCCAGATGTTTACAGAACACACTCGCATTAGATGTGCTGTGTTCAGGTGTGAGGTATAGGGCTGATGGCTGTGAGTTCAAAATATTTTAAGTGAAAGGTCTTTAAACAGAAGCAGTATAAGCCAAGGTTATATATTGGTTTGTTGTCAAAGATGTGACCAGAGGCTCACAGGATCCTAACCATGTATTTGCTGCAAGGACCATGACTCAGTTCAGTGTCCATGGCAACTTTCAGAACATAACATAGAGGATGATCAAGAACTCTACTTATTCTTGGTCACACCAAACTCCTTGATATCCTTTCTCCCAAATTGTTTTCTTTTTTTGTAAACAGCTATCTAGGTGTTGTATATTAAGTACAATAAACTGCACAAATTTAAAATGTGGAAGTGGATGCATTTTGACATATGTGAACCCATCACCAGTCAATCAAGGTAATAATAATGTCACTACCCCCAGTTGTCTCTGACCCATTGCAGTCTTAATTACCACCTTTTCATGGTGAGAGAAAACTTTCTCTGTCTTTCTTTGAATTTTCCAGAATTCCCCATAAAAGGAATGCATGTATTTTGCCTGGTTTCTTTCACATAGCATACTTATTTTGAGACTATCTGTGTTGAAGCACATATTCCTCATTGATTGTCTGTGTTGCTGAGTAACATTGTGACGTGACCATTGGATCATCTGTCTACCTGATGGTGGACATCTTTCACAGTCTCACATGCAGCTACTATAGATGGCCTTACTTGTTGGTAACTGCAGATAAAGGCATGTAGGAAGGACCTTGTCCTTCCATCTGTCCTTTCTGGATTCAGTTTTCTCTTGTTGACTTTGGGACATCTGGTTTGGATCATGACTGTAGGTCTACCAGTAATCTCAGTTTTGGTCTTGGACAAAGTAGAGGTGGGAGTGGTGAGAAAGGCAAGTCCTAGGAAAGTCAAGGCACCAAAATACAGAAGTCTCTCTGACAGGTCTGCAAAAGCTAGACATGTGTGAATCAGCATCCAGCATCCTAATCATTACTCTCTCTCTCTCTCTCTCTCTCTCTCTCTCTCT